CCGTGTCTACGTGGATGGTGGTTGGACAGCTTCAGAGGGACAGCAGACGGGGCCGTGAGCCTCCTAGGAGTTCAGATACCCAGTGGATTCAATCCCCAAGCCCACTTTCTCTGGGGTGAAGAACGTCCTCTCCCTCTCGAAGCCCCTGTCCTCATCCTGGGGAAATGCAAGCATTAATGTGTTTGGGACCAGCATCATATCTTGTCAGCCACAAGAAAGAGATAATTGGGTGCCCGCAGGTTTTGCCTGTCCCAGAGCTGGGGGCTCTAGGGACAACAGCGAGGGGCCCTCAGCCTCCCGAGTAGCTGGGACTACAGGTGCCGCCATCATGCCCGGCTAATTTTTTTTTTTTTTTGTATTTTTAGTAGAGACAGGGTTTCAACATGTTAGCCAGGGTGGTCTCGATCTCCTGACCTCATGATCCACCCACCTTGGCCTCCCAAAGTGCTGGGATTACAGGCGTGAGCCACCACGCCCGGCTGTTCAGGGCCTTTTCTATCTTTGCTGGCTTCTGATTTCCTGAGTGGCTTTGGCCAGCCTATCTACCCATTACCCACTCTGTTCATTGAGGCACAAACCCATCTGTCCATCCTTCCATCCATCTGCCAGAGCTCCCACCCATCTATCCACCTGTCCACACGCATAGCCTTCCAGGTCTTAGGTATCAGGGCCCCTGTTTGCCTCCCATCGCCTGCACTGGCCTATTTGGGTTCCATTCACCAGCCACTAGTCATCCTGTATTGTCTGTCCACTCTTCCATTCACTCAGGCTCTACTGATGCCAGACCCTGGGCAGAGTTGTATTAAAACCCTGTACTGGCCGGGCGCGGTGGCTCACACCTATAATCCCAGCACTTTAGGAGGCTGAGGCAGGCGGATCACTTGAGAATAGGAGTTTGAGACCAGCCTGGCCAACATGGTGAAACCTCATCTTTACTAAAAATACAAAAATTAGCCAGGTGTGGTGGTGGGCGCCTGTAATCCCAGCTACTCGGGAGGCTGAGGCAGAATTGCTTGAACCTGGGAATTGGAGGTTGCAGTGAGCTGAGATGGCCCACAGCCTGGGTGACAGAGTGAGACTCTGTCTCAGAAAAAAAAAGACCTTGTCTTTGGCCTCCAGGGGCTCACGATCTGCTCAGGGAGATAGGCGTAATGGTCGTTTTGGAAGGTGACTCATGGTAGGGCACAGAGCGGAGGGGGTGACTCCCTTCTGCAGAGACCTGGGTCTCCCCGCCATGGAACAGGGGAGCTGGGGTTTCTGAATGCCTCCCAAGTGCATGGCTGCCTGGGCTCCCCAGGTCATGTGGACATTGTGGTCCCTTGTCTCCAAGGCGCTCCCAGCCAGGTCAGGGGGAGGGGTTGTAATGAGCACGCTGCTGCGTGTGGAGTTTGTAGTGGGCCGGGGGTCAACCCCCAACAGGCAGAAGGACCCAGGACACACCGCTTTCCTGGATGCTTCCGCTGTGTGCCATGGGGGAGTTTACTGAGCAGAGCAGATGTGGCCCTCTCCTGTCCTTCTGCTCCCTTGCTGGGCTTTGTCTTTTCTTGGGTGACATGGGCGTGGGGAGGGTCTGGCTAGGCACCCGTCCAGGCTGCTCCTGTTCCACATATGCTGTGTGCTGTGGGCTCACCTATTTCTCAGCCCCATACTGAGAACCTGGGGGTTGCCTGGGCTCAGGACTTTCCTCTGGGCACCTAGTTCATGAGGGGCCTCTCTTGCAGCCACAGCCCCTTCGGAAGGCCCCATGCTCTGTAGGCCTCTGAGCTCCCAAGGCTCATCTGGCCCCAGGTAGAGGGTGGCAGGATGGCCTTTGTGGGGCAGCTGAAATTGTGGCCTGACCCTGCCCATGTGCTTCAGGCACCACTGAACCTTCCCTGGCCCTGGCAAGAGTCTCTTGGGCACTGCTTCCGGCTCTGCCTCCCATCTGCTGTGTGTCCTTGAGCAGGCCCCATTCTCCTCTGGGCCTCGGGCTCCCACACAGATGGTGAGGGGCTGCCTGGCACTAAGTGTCCTGAGTGCTCGGAAGGCTCCCTGGCTCCTTGGTGGTGGAGGGCACGGGGGTGGGTCAGCTTCGGTTTCTCCTGTTTTGTGTCCTGGGCTGCGTGAAGATTGATCTGAAGTTTTGAGGCTGAGAAAAGGCTGAAAACCTTTGAAGGGCTCAGGGGCTTTGGGCTGCTTGGCTCTGCCGGCCCCTCTGGGTGTGTTGGAGGGGGCAGAACCCCAAGTACACCTCCTTGTGGGGAACCCCTGTCCCACTGTCACCCCAGGATTAGGAGAGAATTTCAGAGGCAGTGGGGGCCTCCGGGTACCACCCTGGGTCATTGGGTAGGTGCTGCCCTGTGGGAGCCAAGCCCTGGCTCCTTGCTGTGCCCAGACTTGGGCCCTGGCACCCTCCCTGCTTCAGAAACCCCAGAGCAGCCCCCACCCCGAAAGCCTCTCTGCCTGGGCTGGCACAGACCTCCCCCTGCTCTGCAGCTGCCGAGGGAAAGCTGGGTCAGTGCTTCTTGGAGCGTCCCAGGTCTCAGGTGAGGCCTCTGTAAGGGGCTCACAGTGATGCCTGTTTCCCATGAGCTGGGAAGAGTGGTTGGGAAATAGTGACATTGCCCATGTGGTGGGCAGGGCCTTGCTGTGTCCCGGTGGTGGGGCTGCCCCAGCTGTGCTGGCCTCAGAGAGGGCAGGGGTCTCCCCAGAGGCACGGAGGAATGCAGAGCCTGGGCTCTGGGTGTGTGGGTACTGGGCTGGGCAGCAGAGGATGAGATCTTTCTCTGGCAGGGAGGGAGGTACCCTCTTACTCCATCTGCTGGTCAGGCACTTCCTGGCTGGGTGACCCTGGGCGAAGAACTTCACCTCTCTGAGCCTCAGAGTCCCCACTGGGGAGAGGGTGGTTATGAGGCCCGAATGAACTACCATAGCTCTGTCTTGCCCTAAACCCCATGCCATTCTGTGCCTCTAGGGAAACCCCTGCCTTCTCTGAGGCTAGCAGAGCCAGGCACCCCCACCGCTGGGGCACAGTAGGGCACTGCCTACCACATGGGCAAGGTTCTAAGCACTACCCCTCAATGCTAGATGGCTGCCCAGGCCCTGAAACAGACAGATTCTCATCCCAGCCTGGGCTCATGGGAAGTGTGTGGCCGTGAGCAAATGACTAACCCTCTCTGAACTTGAGTTTACTCAGCTGTGAAATGGGCATTGTGATACCCACTTGGCAGGGTGGTCGGGAGAATTCAACACGAATGTATAAAAAGGCCAGGTGTGGTCATCCCAGCACTTTGGAAGGCCCAGGCAGGAGGATCACTTGAGCCCAGGAGTTTGAGACCAGCCTGGGCAACAAAGTGAGACCTGTCTTTACAAAAAAAAAAAAAAAACAAAAAACCAAAAAATTAGCCAGGCATGGTGGTACGAGCCTGTAGTCCCAGCTTCTCGAGAGGCTGAGCTGGGAGGATCGCTGGAGCCCCAGGAGGCTGAGGCTGCAGTGGAGCCGTGGTTATGCCACAGCTGCACACCAGCCTGGTGACAGAGTAAGACTATCTCAAAAAAGTGTAAAAAGTATCCAGTGCAGTAACTGACAGGCGAGAAGAGCCCTGGAAATAGAAAGTTTATTGAATGTCTCAGTGCATCAGAGACGGAATTTGAAGAGACCGTCTCTTTGCCTGGGTCCTGCTGGCCCTGGAGCGCTGGCCTGCTTTCCATGTTCCCAAATATCAGGCTGCTGGGGTCTCACGTGCCCTCTTCCCAGACTCACCCTGTGTCATGTCTCCTTGCCTTTAGTCCTCCTGCAAGGAGAATCCTTTTAACCGGAAGCCATCGCCTGCAGCGTCCCCAGTCACAAAGAAGGCCACCAAGGGTTCTAAGCCTGTGAGGCCACCTGCCCCAGGACACGGCTTCCCACTCATCAAACGCAAGGTACCAGCTTGGAGCCCCCTGAGACCAGGCTGGCCTGGGCTGGCACCTCCCACTCCGCAGCTGCAGGCTTCCCCTGGGACTCTAGGGAGGCTGGCTGGCTGGGCAGCTGGCCTCAGATGCTCAAGAGAGCGCTCTTGGGTGGCCCAACTTGAAGGTCTAACTTGCAGCCCGGAGAGATTTGGAGCAGATCCGCCCTTCACCACCAAAAGCAGTAGGTGGTGCCTTTAATTTGTTACTAACAAGTTCAAGTATCAAACACTTATGATACGCTGCTACTTAAGCTGATTAGAGTGTTCTCAAGTTTATCTCTGTAATAAGGTCACTCTCACTGACATTGTGATAGCCTTTCTGGAGTGGCAGAGAGGAGGCGTTTCTGAAGGGCAGGGAGTCATGCCACCTTCTGGTGTGTCTGTTGGTGCTGGGACCAGTGGCATGCAGGGTTGTGGCTGTTCCCACACTGGCCCCTTCCCTACACTGGGACCCTGCCTTCTAACCATGCTGGGGTCGGGGGCAGGCCCCGGGCCCTGGAGCCACCAGTGGCCAATGCTGGCCAGAGAAGAGGGCAAGGCTCCTGGCAGCAACCAGGCAGGGGAGGGCTCGGCTGGCCGTCAGGTGACCAGGAGCTGTTGGGCAGGTCCAAGCTGACCAGTACATCCCCGAGGAGGACATCCACGGAGAGATGGACACCATTGAGCGCCGGCTGGATGCCCTGGAGCACCGTGGGGTGCTGCTGGAGGAGAAGCTGCGTGGCGGCCTGAATGGTGCGGGAGCGGCTGGGAGGGCCTGCTGGGTGGGGCTGGGGGCAGGAGCCTCTATTCCCTGGGGAACTGAGCCAGGCATGGCGGCTAGCCCTGGCCTCAGTGGGTGTCTGGCTTCCAGAGGGCCGTGAGGATGACATGCTGGTGGACTGGTTCAAGCTTATCCACGAGAAGCACCTACTGGTGCGGCGAGAGTCCGAGCTCATCTATGTGTGAGTCATCCGCTCGGGGCAGCCCTCCCTGGAATCCGTAGAGCTTAGAACTGAGAACCCTTACCCTCTTCCCTCATCAGTAACAGCACAGGGCAGGGCAGCCGGGGCTCGGGCAGAATTGTTAAGAGTCACCTTATTCCCACCTCTAGCTTCAAGCAGCAGAACCTGGAGCAGCGCCAGGCTGATGTCGAGTATGAGCTCCGGTGCCTCCTCAATAAGCCAGGTGAGCGCAGCCACTGGCACTCCCCTGGCACCTGCCCCGGGGCCTGGTGATATGGAGGAGTGGGGGAGCGGGCAGACAAAACCCCAGTGGGATGCACAGGCAGACTAGGGACAGGGCCAGAGGAGGAGGTGCGGGGCAGGGCTGTCTGGGTCACCCCCGAGGATGGGAGAGACTCTAACAGGCAGTAAGCTGGCCGGGGCTGCATTGGAGAGGGAACCGCACAGACAGTGTGGGTTGTGGACGTCCGTGATACCAGGGACGACGGACTCTTAGTGAATGAAGATCAGGCCCAGGACCAGCCCAGCCTGATGTGTACATGGGTCAGACTGTTCCTTGTTCTGCTGCTAACTTGCTATGTGACCTTGGGCAGGATTCTTAGCCTCACTGAGCCTCAGTGGCTTCAAGTGTAAAACGGGAATGGAGGTCCCCACCTCCTTGGGTATTCTTGGGACCAGAAGACCGTGGACGTGGACTCTGTACCCTCTGAGGGGCTGATGGCTGACGGTTACCATGTGGCTGTGCCTGGTGGCATACACGGCGCCCTGCACCCCACCTGCGCTGTTTTGTATCTCCTTTAGTAGACACGGGTTCACCCATGTTAT